GGACAGGTAGTGGCAGGACCTGGGAGCTCTTCTCATGTTGTAGACGTTCCACGAGCCCCTGTGGGGCAGGTGGTGCCAAGGCGATGCTCCCTGTGTTTGCGCAGAGCTGTGTTTCCCAGCAAGGTGGTGCCCGTCTGGGCCCTGGACGCTTGCTCGTGCTCTCTGTGCCTGGGACAGAAAGGGGACAGCGTGTCAGCCCCAAGAGATGGGCACACCAAAGCCAGGACAACAAAACCCCAGCCCTGGTCCCCCCCCTCTCCTATTGTTAAGCTGCATGTGCTGAACTTGCTCCCTGCCCTGGGTCTTCTGGAGTCGGGCCCCATTTGGTTTCCTCCTTAAGAAAATGCCCATTTTTTTTTTTCTTTTTCCTTCTCTATAACAAACTAAAGTGTATCTTGCACCCGACCTGACCTACTGCACGTGCCTATACCTGCTGCCCCTGTGAGTCCAACCACAGTTTACTCTGTTGCATCTCTCTCTGTGTGTTTTCCTTCCCACCCTGCTCCCTCCCTTGGCTCATCCCACTCGCCTTGTGTTGCTCTGCCTGTCCTGTCTCTTCCTGCTGGCCTAGAGGCCTGCTCCTGCCTCTGAGGTCTGTTCCTGCAGCTCTGCTCTGCTGGGAGGAGACCTGGGCCCAGACCGTCCCTGGAACGCTGAAAGGTGCAATTTCCATTTCCCTCTGCAAATTAAAGCCAGAGAAAAGTAGCTGGGATAAAATTACGCTCCCCCCCCCCGCCCTATAACTGAGATGCCCCTTTCTAAGTTTCTTTCTTTCTTTCTTTTCCCCTTTTTAAAAAGACCCTTTTCTCTCATATCTACAAACCCCAGTATGGACAGTCATGTTGTCCTGTTAGCGCCAAGATCCAGGTATTCGCCCCTGCCTGTGTTGTCCTGTCACAAAGGCCAGGATGTGCACTTGTACATCACTGGCATTTGTAGCATCCCTGCTGTGGATACCACTATCCTGGGGATGAGTTTTCCCTCCCTGAGGGATTTTGATGGTGCTGGGTTGGACCATGAACTCTTGGAATGGTTCTCCATCTCCTAAGGCTCACAAGGCTGAGAAAAGTGGTGAAGAAGTCCCATCTCCTGCTAGCCCCATAAAGAAACAGCCCCAAAAATGAGCTGTAGGAGGGGCAGGTGGCCTGGGGAAAGGCTGTTTGCAGATGCCCAGGTCCCCTAGAGCAAACGTGGCACCCAGGGAACTTTGCACCTTTCGTCCCATCGATGCCCCACACTGTCCTCTGCCTCCCTTTGGGGGCTGGAGCCCAGGGCCTTCATCCTGTCCTCTTCCTCCTCCCATCCCTGCCGGTGGTGTTAGTCCTGTGCCGAGGCTGCTGGCTTGAGGCAGTCTGTGGGGCCCTGCGTGAGGGAGGGAGCAGGTCTGCAGCCATGGGGCAGCACCAGCTGGTAGGAGATGGGTCTGGGCAAAGCCACGATTGGGGGCAGAGGGGCCACAGCGGGCTGGGCAGCAAGAGGACCTGCTGCCCATGCAGAAGCTGCTCAAAAGGAGTGTTCCTGGGGCAGGCTGATTTTGGAGCCCCTCTACCCTGCCCCATAGCTGAAGCCCTGCACTCCATCCCCTCCTGGCTGTTTCAAACCAGGGCCCTGGCCTTGCATCTCCGCGCTGCGCTGGGCTGGGGGTGCATGTCGTGGGCTGGGGTGCATGGCTGGGTTTGGCACGTGGTTCGTGTGCAGTCATCGCGAGCCAGCAGGATCAAACCCGGTGCCAAGCCAGAGGGTTCCCCTCCAGTCCTGACCAGGGAGGTCCAGACTCACAGCTTGGATAGAAGCTGTTTCTCACCATGTCTCACCCCAGACTCCATCCCGCCCCAGCCCTGCCTCCCTGTGTGGAGGGGAGGCTTCCTAAGGAGCAGGCATTTGGCCTTGGGACTCGCAGGTAGAGCCCAGTCCTGCTACTTCCCTGGCCTCTGGGCTGCGGAGTGTCTCCAGTGCCGGGTTTGTCCTGGGATGAAGCAGAAAGGCCAAGCAGACCCTAGGCTTTGCCTTCCTGCTCTGTTCCCTGCTGCATGTGCTGCCTCCAGCCCCGCTCGCCCTGTGCCGGATGCCCCGGGGCCGCTGCTCTTAACTCTTCTTCTGCTTGGTGACTCCTTCTTTCTTCCAGGCAACCCGCCGGTCCAAACTAAAAAAGCGCTGAAGCAGCGATTCCTCAAACTGCTGCCCTGCTGCCGGCCCAAATCCATCCCCTCGCTCAGCGAAAGCAAGTGCTTCTTCTTGCCTTTGTGTGTGTGTGTGTGTCCCCGGCGGTGCTGCTGGCTGCCCCTGCCCTGGCCCTGCCTGCGGGAAGGGGACAGCTCTGCCACCCCCTTGCCGCAGAGATGGGGGAGTCAGGGTCCGAAGGAGTCAATCTGATGGGCTTTGCACCCACCTCCATCCTTGCCCACTCCCAGGCTATTTCCAGCTTGCTGGAGGGACACCTGTGGGATGCGAGGCCAGCTCCAGAGCAGGGCTGGCTCTGGCTGTGCCACAGGACTCTTCTGGTGCTGATTTAAGGGCCGGAGTGGGATCTGCTGGAAGTTCAGCCTTTGTTTGGAAATGGAGGGAAGGGGCTGAGGCGGGAGTGAGGGCAGAGCTGCATAGAGCCCCCGTTGCTCAGGGCCCGGCTGCTGTCCCAGGTGCTCTTGGCTCCTCTGTGAGCCCAAGCCCCAGGAGGGGATCGGGCCTTGCTATATGAGCTGGTCCGCCGCACCATGCAGAGAGGTGAGTATGGAGGTGTCCAGGCCTGAGTGCCTGTGCCTGGGGCCCTAGGTGATGTGCACTGATATCTGTGCCGAGCAGTGGGGCTGGGGGTCCCACAGCCATTCTGGAGGGTGGGAAAGGAACCACTGCCTGTGCCCAAGGTGCCCAACTCCACTTGGACACCCGAATGCACATCACCCTGGGGCAGGGGTGAGAGGCCTGGGGGTGTCATGCAAAGGGCCTCTCCGGCTCCTGGCACAGGGGTGGGTGGCAGGGCAGGATGGCGCTGGCCTCAGCTGCCCTCTCGCCCCTGCTCTCTTGCAGACAGCGTTGAAGATGAGTTTGAGCTCTCCACTGTGTGCCACCGCCCCGAGGGGCTGGAGCAGCTCCAGGAGCAGACCAAGTTCACCCGCAAGGAGCTGCAGGTCCTGTACCGAGGCTTCAAAAACGTGAGTACCCCTGGACCAGCTTTGCTAGTCCCCTGCTTCTGTGCCCTCCGAGGGTGCTCTGCAGCTCCTGATACCCTAGGTTTGCCAAAGGCTTCAGGATCCTGCTCATGAAAATATCATATATGATATATGTCTTAAAAGCTCTACAGTAGAAGCTAGCCTTAACCCTACATTGGCTTTTATTTTTTTCCAGAAGGTGCAGGGAACTGAACATCTGAGGGGCTCTAGGGACTTCTGCACCAAATTATCATTGGCCCCTGTGTGGGTGACCTAGGTTGGAGAGAGCCCAGCTCCAAAGACACCAGGTCCCTGCGTGAGCTTCTGGCTCTGCAGGAGGTCTCGGGTCTGCCCAAGGTTTGTTGCACGGGAAGGGGCCTCCCTGGGGGCTGGGATGCAAGGAGATCTGCAAGGCTTTAGGGGACAGGAGCCCTGGGGGAGCGCTCAGCCCCTACGCACAGCAGGCCCGTGCGGACGGGGTGACGCTGCTCCTCGCCCTGGCAGGAGTGCCCAAGCGGCATCGTTAACGAGGAGAACTTCAAGCAGATCTACTCGCAGTTCTTCCCGCAGGGAGGTGAGTGCTGCTCCCGGCCCTGTCCCCGGGCGCTGGTGGGGGCGGGTGGCTCCGGCAGGGCCGCCCCAGCACTGTGGCCTCTCTGCAGACTCCAGCACTTACGCCACCTTCCTCTTCAACGCCTTCGACACGGACCATGACGGCTCCGTCAGCTTTGAGGTGAGCCGCGGAGCGGTGACGTGGCAGGGACGTTCGCATGTCGGGAGCTGGGTACAGGCGTAAGAGCTGTTGCTGATGAGTGCCGACTGACGGGGAGCTGCGCAGCTCGAGGAGGAGTATCTTAAACCCAAGATCCAGGGCCAGGAGGTCTGGGGATCTCTGCTCCCTCCTACAGAGAAAAACAGACAATAAAAAGAGCATTTCTGCTGCTTCTGGTTGGGGGGAAAGAGATTGGTAGCCACATGGCACGTCTGCTCTGGGGATGAATTTACCCTCTGGAGATGAGTGGGGATGTGCCCTCTGTGGCTCTAGCTGCCATCTGTGTGCCTTGCCCGTCCTTGCAGGACTTTGTGTCTGGGCTGTCCATCATCCTGCGGGGCACCATCGACGACCGCCTGAACTGGGCCTTCAATTTGTACGACCTAAATAAAGACGGCTGCATCACCAAAGAGGTGGGACTGGGCGGCCAGGCTGCCCCCTTGAGTCAGCGTGGATCTGTGGGGGTGAGGGTAGGACCTGGGCACACTGACTGAGCCATGCAGGAGAGGGAGGAATCAATATTGCTTATCTCCCACTAACAAACTGGTCCACACATGGCATCAGCCCTCATCACAGAAGTGAGGCAAGGGCAAAAGCCTGGGTTGAACTGCAGCTCTGCTCCCCTGTCCCTCAGGAAATGCTGGACATCATGAAGTCCATCTATGACATGATGGGCAAATATACCTACCCGGCCATGCGGGAGGAAGCGCCCCGGGAGCACGTGGAGAACTTCTTCCAGGTGAGCTGCCACGGGCATGCCCTGGTGGGGAGCAGGCTCCAGCTTGGAGCCGGTGTGTACCAGGACCTGGCATGGAGCAAGAGCGAAGGGCCATGCCTGCTACTTCCTCTGTGCTGTGTTCATCTGCAGAAAATGGACCGAAACAAAGATGGGGTGGTGACGATCGAGGAGTTCCTGGAGTCCTGTCAGAAGGTAAAGCCGCCAGCAGCTCTGCTCTGGGGCTGGGACACCCTCCCTGCGAGCATGAGGAGGTCTGTGCATCCTGCTAGGACTCCAAAGCTGTCTGTGCCCCAGGGCTCCTGTCCTCTGGGAGGGCATCCCTGGCTGTGGGTTGGGGCTGCTAGAGCACAGCAATGAGGTGCAAGCCAGTGTGGGGGGAGCACGGAGACAGCAGCCCCATGCCCAGTCCCCTCTCCTCCCCGCAGGACGAGAACATCATGCGGTCCATGCAGCTCTTTGACAACGTGATTTAGTTCCCGGACCTGCCTCCAGCCGAGCTCTCCTGCTGCCGGGCCCAGAATCTGCTTCTCTCTTGACTTCCTTTGAGCCTCCCCACCGCCGGCTGCACAGGCACCCCGGAGGGCAGGGGCCTCCGTTCCCGGGATGCGGTCAGTGACGGGATGCTCCCTTTCCCCTGGACCGGCTCTGCTTTCCATGGGGGATCCCCAGCAGGCACTCCTGGACATCGGAGCACGGGCACAGCTGGCACAGGGCAAGCGTTGGGCCTGGATGGACCTCCCTGCTCCCCATGGAGAAAGCCTGGGGCTGCAGTAGTGTCCCCTGCATAGTGTCCCGCATAGCCACAGCTCCCGCACCCCATCACCCTCCCCAGCCCAAACCCTCCAGCAACACCATCTAGGAATGATAGTCTTGCAAGGGGCATCTGCACCTCTGCTCCCACTTTGCTCCAATCATGCCCTGAGCTGTGGGGAGCAGCCTTGCTCCTGGGCCGAGGGGGCCCATCCTGCCCTAGGGTGAAGGGAGCCCCTGAGGTGCCTTCTAGTGGCACCAGTGTCCCTGCCATCACAGCAGAGGATGCAGAACTGGGAAGGGAGCTGCAACATCAGTCTTTGCCCCCTGCTATCTGGGAGGTGCTGGCACCCAGGGATCTCAGAGACCCAGTTTGAGGTACTTTCCCTGTCCCAAGGCCACGGCAGGCAGGGCATGGGGACAAGCAGAGGAGGGAGGTGCATGGATCTCCAGGGGCCTCTGTGCTCCTTGGGCCACACAGCTGGGCATCATTTGCAGCATGGCAGGCTGCGTTGAGGCTGGTCTCTCCTGCCCCTTTGCAGCCCATCCTTGCCCACGGGGCCAATGCTCAGTCCTGGGGATCTCAGTGTCACGCAGGCCCAGGAGCCCACACCAACTGCGAGCTGTCCCACAGGCAGCAGGGATGTAATCGGAGCTACTCCTGGCCTCGGCTCTGCTGCCCCATAGCAGCCATGGGGGCTGGCATTGCGCTATGGTAGCAGGGGGCCAGCGGCAGCAGGGACTGAGGGTCCGTGCTGACCAGCCCCCCAGACCCAGGCTGAGCCCCTGGTGTCAGAGCTGTTACAACCCCCTGCAGGGGGTCCTGAGCCAAAACTATGCCCCACAGCGGGACCCCTCCTGGGGCAGCCCTTGCAGATGGGGTGTATGGTCCATGGGGGCTGGCATTGCGCTATGGTAGCAGGGGGCCAGCGGCAGCAGGGACTGAGGGTCCGTGCTGACCAGCCCCCCAGACCCAGGCTGAGCCCCTGGTGTCAGAGCTGTTACAACCCCCTGCAGGGGGTCCTGAGCCAAAACTATGCCCCACAGCGGGACCCCTCCTGGGGCAGCCCTTGCAGATGGGGTGTATGGTTTGGGTAGGTTTTTTTTTTTTTTTTTTTTTTTTTTTTTTTTTTTTTTTAAAATTTTTTTTTTTTTTTTTTTCTCCTTGTGAGTTTATCACTGCAATAGTGCCCCCCGCCCCCCGGCCCGTCCCCGTGGCCGCCCCAGCCTCTCCCCCGCCACGCGGAGCAGGGTGTCACCCCCTCCCTCACGCTGCAGGTCGCATGGTGTGTGATCCCCCTCCTCCCCACCCCAGGGCATGGTGACCCACAACCCGCTTGGCATCTCCAGTCTGTATATTTTGTATTATAACAGTAATATGGGTTAAGAAAAAAAAAAAGGAAAAAAAAAAAAAGAAAGAAAGAAAAACAAAGACAATAAAATCTAACCACGATCGCTATGCACACTGCTGTTGGGTCTTGGTCTCTCTCAGCTGGGGGTGGGTGTAGGGGAAAGAGAGGCTGGGGGGCTCTGCTAAGGGTTGGCAGTGCCTCCTGCCAGCATCGTGCCCAGGGAGGGAAAGCTAAGCCTGAAGAGCTGCCTGGAGATGCAAACAGCTTACAGAAAGGAGGGGATCTGGATGTTGTGGCACTGCCAGTGCTGCTTCAGGCCTCTGGCTCCCCCAGGAGCCTTTTGGCAACTGGCCAATTGCCCAGGCCTGTGCACAGCATTAATGTATGCTCAAGTCAGAGCACGCTCCTCTACTCGCTTCCTCTGGCAAAACCCTACTGGGCATTAGCTCTATTTGCCTGGTTGCTATTTTGGGAAGCACCATCTGCAGGCTCCATGTGCCCTCTTGTGGCACGGGGATGCTACAAGCCACCCATGAGGGTCCCTGTCCCCAGGGCAAGGGGCAGCAGAAGGACGGGGACAGCAAGGGCTAGGGGGATGCTGTAGGGCTTGCTCAACCTTTTAATGCTGCCCTGGCCTTCCTGGGCCAAAGGGCTCTGTGCAGGGACCATTTCCTACAGCCATGGGGCAGGGGGGCTGCTTAGCTACCCCTTCACTCCCCTCTGGGCAGGACTTGAGGAAGGTGCTAAGGAAGGGAGGGCTGGATCACCCCCCTCTGCTGAGTCACATCCCTCTAGAGCTGGTGGCTGTCAGGTTCACTTGTTGTAAGAAGATGCTGTATGAAGCAGAGCTGGGGACCAGGTGTCCCTTGTTAGGATGTGGCATTTAAGGGTGGGACAGCAGCAAGGACCTAAAAAAGGATGGGTCTAGGCTGAGAACAGGGTCGATCTGAAAGAGTGGCCAGATACTGGTCTGTAGAAAAGCACAGCTTTGTTTTGCTTCAAGTAATTTTTCCCATCCCTCAAAAAGAAAAGAAAGAAAGAAAAAAAAAAAAAAGAGCAACTAAGCCAGAAAACAGCAGAGCAACAGGGTAAGGCTGCTGATAGAGCTTGGGCCAGCAACCTGCTCCAGCATCATGCTGTCCAAAGCCTGAATGCCACCTGGAAACATGAATGTATAAAAGCATGAGTTCCCACTCCCAGGGGAACTGTTATGGGGGATCATCAAAGCAGTGAGGGCAAAAGCTGCTTCAAGGACCCTCCTGACCTCCGATTAGCCAACTGTACAGATCTGGGTATGGTAGCATGAGAGAATGTGTGTGTGTTTTCTACCTAAATTCCTCACCCTTTGATAAGGCCTTGCAGCATTTTAATACAATCTGGCTAGTTCTACTTAGGGTGACTGCAAAATCACTTTATTGTTTTGTTTTGTTTCTTTGAAAGCTTTAGATTACACACGATGGTAACAATAAATGTTCTGTGGCCAAGGTCTTTGCTGCACTTTCCTGCGTGTGGACCCAGATGGATCTGGAAACCCAGCTGTCTTGTTTGTCCCACAGGGCTGAGCCGTTATCGCTGGAAACAGGCCCTGCAAGGGGGGTTTGGGGAGAGCTGAGTGAAGTGCGTAGAGGTTGAGGGGATTTGCATAGCAGGGACACGCTGTTATCTGGAGTTTTCACACACTTTGTTCAGTCAAAATGTGACTGGGCTGTTGTGATGTCCGCTGCCTTCTCCAACCTGTCACTGCAACATGGGATCTCCATCGCTCACCAGGCCCTTACTGTGTTGCACACGAGCTGTTCTCCCCGTGCCAGGCTGTCTGGGAGGGTTATGTCACATGCGCCTCTGGCTCATGCTCTTGTTTACACAGCTCTACAAGGTATCTGCTCCTGGTCACCCCACGCTGCAGCTCAGGGACCTGCCTGCTCTGTCCCCACATGGGGCAGCATGTGTTCCCCCATCACGTGGCCCAAAGCCTCGCAAGAGGCTGCAGGCAGCTCCTCACGGGAGAGAAGCTGGGGCAAGGCCCCGTCACCTCCCAGGAAGCGCCGACCACAGCCCTGCAAGCAGCGCCGCCGCATCCTGCCGCCCCGCGGCCCCCCATCCGCCCGGCGGGC